TAATAGTTCAAACCAAAAATCTGATGATGCCTACAAAAACCGTTAACTCGTGTCTATTATTTAATAGATTATTATTATTTAGAAGCTTAATTATGTGCAATTTCTCATGGAGGCATAAAGGGCATGGGTCATCCCAAGTTTTATATATATATATATATATATATATATATATATATATATATATATATATATATATATAAAATATAAAATATATAGAAAATAGGAAGGAACTGGTTCGGTAAATAATCCAAATTTGGAATCATATTTTAAATAAATAATTATATATATATATATATATATATATATATATATATATATATATATATATATATATATATTTTATTTATTTTCGTTTTATTTTGAAGATTGCTACTGGCAGGGTAGCAATGAATCGGACTGGAGTTCCACAAGTGAGAAGTGCGAGGAAAGAAACTATGAATATAACTGACGGTTGCAATCTAACCAGTTAAAAATATAAAACGGTGAAACCAAGTTGCCCATCTAGTCGAATTTATGCAGTCGAAGAAGGAAAACTCATCAGAACAATCGCCATTTGCAGAAAAGACAGCGGGAAACCACGTTACTGTGTTGATAAATTGACTGAAGTCAAGATGCAAATTGATCCATGACTTTCACACAACTATCGGAAATTAGCTGTTTGCGTACAAATGTCAAGTCTTGTTTTTCGTCCATTTTTCACTTTTGCTTATTTATTTTTCTTCGTTTAATTGTTGTTTTTTTTTCCTTTCCTTTCGCTTTTCGTTCTACAGCGTGCGATCGAAAAATTGTCTTCTAAATGACGCAAAAATGAAAACGGCACTGATATCTCATTTCAACAGATATACAGCGTGCGATGGATAAATTGTCGTTTCAATGACGCAAAAATGAGAATAACCCTGATATCTCATTTCAATTGATATGCAGCGTGCGATGGATAAATTGTCCTTTCACTGACGCAAAAATGAAGATAACACTGATATCTCATTTTAACAGATATATTTACCAACATTGCTGAAAGATTTCTTGAAATACTAAAGCATAAATTTCTCCAATAAAATCACTATTAGTTTCTACCACGGCCTCCAGACGACTTCGAAATCTCCTGCATCTCCTCGGGACGGTCTCCATGTTTAATCTATGGCTCTCCACAGTTTCCAGTCCTTTGTACAGTGTGGGGTCGATAAATTATCGTTTAAATGACGCAAAAAACGAAAATAACATTGACATCTCATTTTAACAGATATGCAGGGTGCGATCGATAAATTGTCGTTTAAATGACACAAAAACGAAAATAACATTGACATCTCATTTTAACAGATATACAGGGTGCGATCGATAAATTGTCGTTTAAATGACACAAAAACGAAAATGACATTGACATCTCATTTTAACAGATATACAGGGTGCGATCGATAAATTGTCGTTTAAATGACACAAAAACGAAAATAATATTGACATCTCATTTTAACAGATATACAGGGTGCGATGGATAAATAGTCATATAAATGACGCAGAAATGAAAATACCGCTGACATCTCATTTTAACAGATATGTTTACTAAAATTACATAATATTATCTTGAAATACGAAAGAGTAAATTTATCCAATAAAATCGCCTTTGGCTTCAAACACGACCTCCAGAAAACTTCGAGATCTTTTGCATCTCTCCTGGACGGTCTCCTTGTTTAAGTTGGTGAATTCGGCCATATTCCTTGCCTTCAGTTCATCTTTTACGTTACAAGGAGTTTTGTTGATCACTCGCTCAACTACTCTGCACACATAATGATGAGGGTGTTTGCAGTCTAGGGATTTAGGTCACCAGATGTAACGAGTGATTTTTATTTTATTTTATTTTTTTGTTGTTTTTTTATTAGGTTTGTGCAAAAATAATAACTTAATAAAATCGTTTTTTAACGTAGAAAAGTACGTCAAAAAATGACATTATTACGTCATTATTTTTGCACCAACCTAATAGCAATTTACCCGAAGCAAGGTTGGAGTACCAGTAGCAGGCAAGAAGCTACAGAGTGTGTAAATAAGGGGGAGACTGGGTAGGGGAGGGGTGAGGAAAGGATTAAAGAAAAACGGGGATCATGACAACAGAAGATGTCGACTGACATTACATTTAAACTTTTGAAGATTATATTTATCAGGGAAGCAAGTAAGAGGAAGGGAGTTCTACTGTTGGGAAGTGTAAGTAAAGAAACTATTGGAGTACAAGAGGCAGTTGCATTTAACAGTAAAAGGGTTGGATCGAGATGTCAACCCAGTAGCACGCTTAAAATCATGCAGTCGGGAAAAATTGAAAATAACTCGTCAGTGAAATTGCCATGAAAATATTTATAGAAAAGACAGAAAGAAGCCGCTTTACGTCGGTGAGAAAGTGACTGGCGTTGGGACTGCAAGTCAGGAGCGATCACATTGCATATCCGTCTTTGGATTTTGTCGAGATGAACAGCGGGGGCACCAGACCATATATGACAAAAGTTTTCTATGCATGGACGAATGGTAGATTCGTAGATGTGAAGAATAGACGAGATTTGCCATATATAGGTTCTTCCAGCATCCGCCCTCTTGACCCAGGGTAGCCCTACCTCCTCATGTCACTTAATGTAGGCCTCCGTATTGAAATTCGCAAGTTCTTCGAGTTTTCAAACTGCCGTATATTCGTAATCACCATTCGAATTATCCAACTCTTTTCCGGATTATCTGTACCTCACACATAATAATTAATATTTAAGGGGGAATGTGGTCGGAGAAATTGTCTGGATTCTCTTGCTTGTATGACATGGTGCAGAATCCTGTTGCCAGACAGAGTTTTTCAGTATCTACACTCTTGGTCCCGGGCAGCACTACCCTCTCAAGGCACTTGATGTAGGTCTCTGTGTTGAGTTTGAAGCCCTGTGGGTACATGTTTCGCGGAACAACCTCGTCATCACTCAAACACCTTCGTAATCACCATTAGACTCATCGAACTCTTTCAGAAACCTCTGCACCCTCGTCAGATTGTCACCCAAACAATTTAAAACGTTCTTATTGGAGCTTCCGACTCGAATGCCAAGCAATAATGTAAGCCGTTTCCAAATTTCTGGCGGAGTGAATTGCGTCATGGTGATCGTTTCTTTCCCAGACGGTGACCAACGGGCCCTACTGTACGATGCATGCACGAAATTAAAAATATGAAATGGAGACAATCGCACCCTCTATATAACTATACCTGTGTGTGACAGAAATTTTTAAGAGTATTTGAATAATTATATTAAAGTAATTCACCGAGTCTAGAATAATCCTCAACAAAAAGAACTGTACGGACTTTTCGTTCTATTTTACGGCTCATCAGCAGTACACATTCACTACGGAGAATCGAACCCGGACAGTTACGATACGACACCAGCGTCATACCAACTGGACCAACGACGGTAATATTTTTTTGCAAAAACGCATTGCTGGTAATATTTTTTTCAAAAACTTATTGCAGGTAATATTTTTTTTTTACCAAAAGGTATTGCTGGTAATAATTTTTCCCCGTCAAAAATATATTGCTGGTAATAATTTTTAAAAAGTATTTCTGGTGTTAAAACCAATTTTTACACTTTCATAGTGTCTTTGCCCCAGTTTCGAGGTTAACTATTTGCCCATAGCTGGGACCCTAACAGGTGCTACCACTCCGCGTCAGGGTGGACCTGGGAACACCAGCAATTAAGAGGTGGTTCCACGCTCCTCAAAACCTCCTGATCAGAGGCCTTACTGTTTGACGCGGATGTAGTTTATCGTCATACCTAGGATAGAGAAATAGTTGTGTGGTCAGCATTAGATACCGATTTGCGGGCTGACTTTCATGAAAAATTCATTTAAGAGAAAGATTTCATAAATTTCCAGCGACAGGAATATTCACCGCTTGGTCAAGAGATACCGAATGTTTCCTAATAAGAAAAAACAGATAATATTATCATTAAAAGTACCATGCACAAATATATAATATATATATATATATATATATATATATATATATATATATATATATATATATATATATATATATATATATATAAGGTCATAGTTGTTCCAACGAGAGAAAAGTCTGTATATTAAAAAAGAAGAGAGATACCGCAAACGTTTTTGGTTATAATGTGGGTTTCTTTTTAAATATTGTTTTATTTTCCATAATATATATATATATATATATATATATATATATATATATATATATATATATATATATATATATATATATATATATATGTATGTATGTATGTATGCATATATAATATAAATGTGTGCATTTACATGGTTAAAGATCAATGGTGCACACATTGCATAAGAACTTTTGCTTGATATAAATATACATCAGGCCCCCCCCACTTGCATACAATATATAAGCATATACATGTGACTTAATACGGTAATATTCGCTGTGGTTTCAGTAAACGGAATTGTATTTAGATAAGTAAACATAACTCTATGTTTACAAAGCTGAAAATATCTTTATAAGTGAATGCTTGTATAGTTGCGTATGCATGTATGTGCTTTCAACTGTGTGCTCACGTTAATATGTGTGGTTGGGTGGTAGTAGGAGTGAGAGAGCGAGCGAATTGTGGTGTATGACTTTTTACAGGCTTTCCACAAATGCCATATTGCTGGAGGTCCTTTGAGGAGAACCTTCTTTGAAATTTCACAGCCTTGTGGCATCAAAATGTCCTACTTTTACGGTAATGCAATTAAGGGCGGACACCGGGGCCCCGAGCCACGCTTTGGCGTGTTACACCAGCACGGCGACGATGACAACGGCAACTCGGAAGGCTCCGATGGATGAGATAAAGTCGAACATGGCTAAGGGCAACGATTGGAAACTAAGCTACAAAAAGAAGAAGAGAAAAAGAGAGAGAATGAGTGCAGACATTTAAAAAGTCATGTCATATATATATATATATATATATATATATATATATATATATATATATATATATATATATATATATATATTTGACATTATCAGAAGGATGTGGGTTGGATGGAAATCAGAAAGAGAAAAGCGAAGATTTAAACGTATGAACTGGAATTAAGGAAGAACAAAAGTGTGAAAACGGTGGAAAATAAGAAGGATTTAGAGAGACGTTGTATTTTAAATAAATGTGCGGGAATTGAGAAGAATTTAAGAGAGAAATGAAAAGAAACATTAAGAGAGAAATGAAAGGAAACATTAAGAGAGAAAGGATAGGAGAGACTAAACGATATTAAAAAAGAAGGCCTGGAACAAAATGGTTAGAAAATTAAGAGGCCTGGATTCGAGAGGCAAGAAACGAATTAGGATTTTAAAAGAAAGTATAGTTTCGTGAGAGTAAGTTACCTAAAAGGTAGAATGGTGAAAAACCATTTGTTTTCAATGTGTGACGAGGAGACAATGAAGAGGAAAAAAACAAAGGTCGGGTGGGTTATGGAAAGAGAAGGAAGTATCAGGAAAAAGCGAGAAAATGGAAAAAAAGTAATTGAAAAAAAGGGATCGAATGAAAAAAAGAGCAAATTAAAACGAGAAAACGTAGAAAGAAAAGCCAAACAACTCATATAGAATGAAAGAACGAAAGAAGAAAATGTGATAAACAAAGGAAAGAAAAAAAGGCATTGTGGGAGAAGATACAATAACAATAAAAAAAAATGGTAGAAGAAATGAAAAAAAAAGAAAGGAGGAAAGAAAGTAAGACTGAAAGAAAGAGCGAAAGGTAGACGAAATAGGGAAAGAAAGAAATATTGGTAAAGGAAAGAAAGAAAGAAAGAATGAAAGAAAGAAAGAAAGAAAGAATGTTAAAAGAAAGAAAGATTGAAAGAAATGAAAACGGTAAAAAAGGCAAAAATAATGGAAATAGAAATGAAAAAAGATTGAAGAAAGAAAGAATGATAACTCGAATGAAGGAATGAAAGAATAAATAAATAAATAAATAAAGAGAGAATAGTGAAAAAGAAAAGGTACGATAAAATAAAGAGAGGAACATTTAAAGAAAAATGTATTAGTAAGAAACATGAAATAATGAATGGTAAATGAAAGAAAGATGGGAAGGAAGAAAAAGAATGTGAACAGAAAAAAAGAAAGAGAGAGATTTATTGAAAGCTAGAGAGAAAGAAAAGAAAAAGGAAATAGTGAAAGAAAGCATTTTAAAGACAGAATCAAAAGTCAAAGAAAGAACGGGAAAATAATAAAACTATGTAAAAAAATGTAGAAAAATTGAAGGAAAGAAAGAATGATAAATGCGAAAGTTTGAAAAGAAATAATACAAAACGTATGGAAGAAAGAAATATTGAAAGAAAGAATAAATGGTGAAAAAAAAAAGAGTGATTGAAAGAATTAAAGAAAGAAAGAAATTCATGCTGTAGAAAAAATGCCTGCGGTATAAGAAAAAAAAGTGGTCGTAAAAAAAAAAAGAAAAAACATTCGGGAAAGTGGAGACAGGAAGGATCAAAATCCGTAAAAACGAGCGAAGAAAAAACAAAACTCACAAACAAAAAAAATCTCTCCACGTAAAATTAAGGGAATCAGTTTAACGCTTGAATAAAAGTTTATGTAAGCTGAGGTCGTTAAAATATCAGTATATATATATATATATATATATATATATATATATATATATATATATAGAGAGAGAGAGAGAGAGAGAGAGAGAGAGAGAGAGAGAGAGAGAGAGAAATAAAGGGATCGGTGATAAGAGTCTTTGGAGGAGATATCACGGAAAATGTGGTAAAAAGAGCAAAAAAAATGATATATATATATATATATATATATATATATATATATATATATATATATGAAAGCACACGTAAATCGAGAGATAGCTTATTCCTAAAATTTCGCTTGAAGATGAAACGGGACTAAACACCTCAATTCAACTTAATCTTAATAATTATTTGGATGGATTCGGCTCTCGTTTTTGATGCATGAGAATTCTTATGTAGCGAAGGAATCATTTTTAAACAAAAAAAGTGCTGTATTGAGCACTCTTTTAAGAATAGTATTTTTTGGTTATTTATTGAATTTATTCCGTATGTACCATCCTATAATTGGTATATATAAATATATATATATATATATATATATATATATATATATATATATATGTGTGTGTGTGTGTGTGTGTATAAACCATTTATATCTTCGTTCTGATCGAACGTACTGGTTGAGATAAATCATGATTTATAATCGTATTTTAGTGATCTGTTGAGATCTTCTTTGATGTATTTCATATTGCTCTGTATTGTATACATTGAGCTCCCGACGAATCTATTTTTTTTTAAATTTTATATTAAAAAGGATGACTTGCATTATCCTTTATACTTATTGTTTTTCTCACTGGGTGCCCCATATTTTCGATTTTGTGCCACTTCTAAGTTACGCACAGAAAATCATTTAACGCCCCTTCGACGTGGTGTAATCGTCAGCAAGCTAGTCGTGCTTGATCAATTACGACTGAATACTGAGTTCGATCCTCACTGGGTGCCCTATACTTTCGGCCTCGTGCCATATCGAAGCTACGGTTAGAAAATCCTCATTTCTAGGGCAACCGGGCATGATGTAATTGCTTGTAAGCTCTTCTCGCTAGAACAGTTAAGACTGGCTCGTGAGTTTGATGCTCACTCGGTTCCCAGTACTTAACGGCCTTGTGTCTCACCTAATCTAGGCTTAGAATTATCGCCATCACATTGGTTGATCAAAAATACCTCCTCATCGATATGACTGTTCCTGCTGAACATAATGTCATGGACAAAGAAATTAACAAAATTAAGAAATACACCGACCTCTGTTCAGGACAATGGCCTAGTGGGTAAAAGCGTTGGATTTTGAATTTAACGACATAGTGGTTGTGAATTTAATCTCTGTAGCGGGCAGTGGAAAAGGGCTATGAATAACTGAACAATGATAAATAAAATAAGGCTTAAAAATATCCCGAGACATGAGCAGTGGAACGATAACACTTTACCCCCGTTGATTAAATGAAGGGTTCAGTTGAGAATATCCTGATTGATATACCGTGTGTAACCGCAAAATTGTCCAAATTGTGTAGCAGCCGAATTGTCCATCCCACAAAATATTTAATATCTAAAAACAAAAGCACACTAAGCTAATTTTTTTTCTAGTTTTTCGGATAAGACGTTTAGCCATCATGACATCAGTTGTCGTAAGAATCAGTGAAAACTTTTTTGGTTATTCAGTTAGAAAGAGAAGAGGTTATTTTTTTTCAGCCAGTCTTTCCTTTCAACTGAGCATTCCTGTGAGGAAAAAGATTATTCAGGCTTTCAGTAATGGTACCAACAGTCATACTCTGGCTTCGGTCTTCAAAGTCCATTCAAGAGACATCAAGAGAAGGGTGAATGATTTTAAAAAGGAGGGAGCAGTAGCGAGGAAAACTCGATCAGGAGGTTACAACAACAAGAGGGATCATCGTGTCAACTTACAGCTGAAGAAATCAATTAGAAAAGACCCAACTCAATTCGTAAGACGTTTAGCACGCGAGAGAGAAGTTTCAGATACGAGAGTTCAAAGAGCAGTAAAAAAAAAAAAAAAAAATGAAAATGAAATCGTACTTGAACCCTGTGAGGCTCAAAGTTACTCCAGGACAGAAAGTTAGAAAATAAGAGAAGGCTAATATCCTTTTGAATAAATTTGAGAATGTTCCTGAAATTTTATATATATATATATATATATATATATATATATATATATATATATATATATATATATATATATATATATATATATATATATATATATATATATATATATATAATTTGAAATTCAGTTCATATATATATATATATATATATATATGAACTGAATTTCAAATCTTCATAAGCTTCCGATCTTTAGCTATGATTAATTAATTATGTTCATGTCATTTTCGTTTATGATAAATTTCATCGCGATTCTACTGTTAAGCTTGAGAGTAATTAGGCATTCTTTTCCCTCACAGTAGAGTACAACAGCGTTATAAAGACATCTGGGAATTCCAGTAACATATCTTTAATCATTTCTAACATACAACGGTTCAAAGCTTAATGTAACCAGTAGACAATTTTGCGGTTATACCCGGTACAACCCTATATAGTATGAATGATATTACATAACAGTTCAGTATTCTTTGTTTCTTAATACTTTGCTTAGCTTCTGGAAGTCATCTTTCACTATCCCAAAAAGCTTTCAGATTTCAGCGTCGCACTTTCCGTTTTCTGTCAAAACACTTCCCAGGTATTAAAATTGTTGTATTTATTTGATTTCGTTTTACACCACTTCATACAAAATGTTAAAAAGAAAACCAATGCGAGAAGGAGCGATAATACTGAACTTGAGAAAACCTATTTTCTTAAAAAATATTTTAAAAGAAAGATTTTATACATTTCAACCGAATTCATGCAATGAACACCGAATGTTTCCTTATAAAGAAACGGTCTTTCTTTTTGATCTTATAAAACATTCATCTTTCTTTCAAATGTTTTCGAGGCTCGTTCCTTCAATCTTCCATCTTTTGCTTCTTCCTTTCATTCTTTTTCTTCTTTGTTTTTTACTTCTATTCTTTTTCCTTTTTCCTTCACTCGGCCTTCCTTCTTTACTTCGCTTCTTTCCTTTCTCCTCGTTTCTTTTCGCATAGATGTTTTCTTTCCTTCCTAATTTCATGTCTTCAGTTTTCTTCTTTCTTTACATCTTTCCTTTTTCATCCTTTCATTGGCCATTATCTTATCCGTTTTTTTTTAGTTCTTGATTCATTGCTTCCTTCCTTCCTTCTTTCCTTCGTCCTTCCTTCTTTCTTTCTTTCTTTCTTTCTTTCTTTCTTTCTTTCTTTCGTTCCTTCCTTTCTTCTTTCGTTCCTTCGTTTTTATTTTTCCTTTCTTTCTTTCTTTCTTTCTTTCTTTCTTTCTTTCTTTCTTTCTTCCCACCCTTCTTTCTTTCCTTCTTTCTTTCCATCCTTCTTTCTTTCCATCCTTCTTTCTTTCTTTCTTTCTTTCTTTCTTTCTTCCGTCAATCTTTCTTTCTTTCTTTCTTTCTTTCTTTCTTTCTTTCTTTCTTTCTTTCGTCAATCTTTCTTTCTTTCTTTCTTTCTTTCTTTCTTTCTTTCTTTCTTTCTTTCTTTCTTTCGTCAATCTTTCTTTCTTTCTTTCTTTCTTTCTTTCTTTCTTTCTTTTCATCCTTCTCTCCTTCCTTCTTTCCTTCCTTACTGTCATCTTTCTTTCTTTTCTTCCTTCCTTCCTTGCTTCACTCCATCCTTCTTTCTTTCCTTCCTTCCTTCTTTCTTTCCTTCCTTCACTCCATCCTTCTTTCTTTTTTTCCTTCTTTCTTTCTTTCCTTCCTTCTTTCTTTCTTTCTTTCTTTCTTTCATTCCTTCCTTCGTTCCCTCTTTCCTTCCTTCCTTGCTTCTTTCTTTTCATCCTTCTTTCTTCTTTCTTTCTTTCTTTCTTTCTTCCGTCAATCTTTCTTTCTTTCTTTCTTTCTTTCTTTCCTTTCATCCTTCTCTCCTTCCTTCTTTCCTTCCTTACTGTCATCTTTCTTTCTTTTCTTCCTTCCTTCCTTCCTTCACTCCATCCTTCTTTCTTTTTTTCCTTCTTTCTTTCTTTTCTTCCTTCTTTCTTTCTTTCTTTCTTTCATTCCTTCCTTCGTTCCCTCTTTCCTTCCTTCCTTGCTTCTTTCTTTTCATCCTTCTTTCTTCTTTCTTTCTTTCTTTCTTTCTTTCTTCCGTCAATCTTTCTTTCTTTCTTTCTTTCTTTCTTTCCTTTCATCCTTCTCTCCTTCCTTCTTTCCTTCCTTACTGTCATCTTTCTTTCTTTTCTTCCTTCCTTCCTTCCTTCCTTCCTTCCTTCCTTCCTTCTTTCTTTCTTTCCTTCCTTCTTTCTTTCCTTCCTTCACTCCATCCTTCTTTCTTTTTTTCCTTCTTTCTTTCTTTCCTTCCTTCTTTCTTTCTTTCTTTCATTCATTCCTTCCTTCGTTCCCTCTTTCCTTCCTTCCTTGCTTCTTTCTTTTCATCCTTCTTTCTTCTTTCTTTCTTTCTTTCTTTCTTTCTTTCTTCCGTCAATCTTTCTTTCTTTCTTTCTTTCTTTCTTTCCATTCATCCTTCTCTCCTTCCTTCTTTCCTTCCTTACTGTCATCTTTCTTTCTTTTCTTCCTTCCTTCCTTCCTTCCTTCCTTCCTTCCTTCTTTCTTTCCTTCCTTCTTTCTTTCCTTCCTTCACTCCATCCTTCTTTCTTTTTTTCCTTCTTTCTTTCTTTCTTTCCTTCCTTCTTTCTTTCTTTCTTTCTTTCATTCCTTCCTTCGTTCCCTCTTTCTTTCCTTCATTGCTTCTTTCTTTTCATCCTTCTTTCTTCTTTCTTTCTTTCTTTCTTTCTTTCTTTCTTCCGTCAATCTTTCTTTCTTTCCTTCTTTCCTTCCTTCCTTCCTTTCATCCTTCTCTCCTTCCTTCTTTCCTTCCTTACTTTCATCTTTCTTTCTTTCCTTCCTTCCTTGCTTCACTCCATCCTTCTTTCTTTCCTTCCTTCCTTCTTTCTTTCCTTCCTTCCTTCTTTCTTTTCTTTCTTTCTTTCCATCTTTATTTTTCTTCATTCCTTCCTTTTGTCCTTCTCTTCTACTTATAGTTTCCTTCTTTTCTTTCCCGCTTCCTTCGTTCATTTTCTTTCAATCTATATATACTTCTTTTATTTTTTATTTCATTTCCTCTTTCATTTATTCCATCCATCCTTCTTTATTTTTTCCTTCCTTCCTTCCTTCCTTCCTTCCTTCCTTCCTTCCTTCCATTTCCCATCACCCTCCATTTCTTTTTATTTTTATATATATATGTATATATATATATATATTGTGACTATTGCTGTTTTCTCTTCAGTTCTCAGTTTTGCTTTCTCCCCCTCAGTTAACTATTTTTTGCCCTCAATTTAATCTCATTTCTACTCGGCCCCTCTGCCCTCTCTCTGTCTCTCTATCTCTCTCTGTCTCTGTCTCTGTCTTTCTCTCTATCTCTTTCTCTTTCTCATTTTTTATCCATACTTTATCTTTATTTCCCAGGATCTCTGAGAATTCTTGCTCTCGTTAAACGAAACTGCACATACTTTACGGCAAGCCTGGAAGATGTTCAATATATCTTTTATTTAATAATAATAATAATAATAATAATAATAACAACAACAATGAGAAGAAGAAGAAGACTAGATTCTATTCGTCGTTTTCTGTCTTTTTAGCAAAGTCTTTAAATAATTCTACACCAATGAAATTAATTAAATCAACAACGTTTTTTTTTCTCCTCAAATTCATTTTTACATCTTATTTTTTATTTCGGAGTTTTATTTATTTTATAATTTTATTGATTTCACATTACGTTTAATACTTCTCTTTTGATATTTATATGTCGTCTTTTCTTCTTCTTGATCGTCTTCACCGTGTTTAGCAATTGCAAACCCGGGGTAGTTGATTCATTTTATATCCTAAAGGAGTCGATGCTCAGATAACATCATGATATGAACGTTTATCGATTCGAGCTTCATTAAAATTCGATAAAGGCCATTCCAAATTATTTGATCATGATTTAAGCCGATAAGCGCATTGAACCCTCTGGCTAAAATGTTAATATGTTCTTTTAATGAGCATATTAGGAATATGAAGTGCCCTTTGATCGATAACTTCCACAAACAATTGCTGGAATCTATTTTCCTTGGCTTGGCCTAAATGACCCGATGGTGCATCTAACAAAGGCTCACCTTGTCTAGACATTTTCAAAATAACCAATAAATATTGGCGAAAATTTACCTGAAAAAACCCTTAAAATTAAAACAAGAAAAAATACATGCAATGTATAATACGTTAATGTTCAGTTAGAAAGTGTTTTTTTCACAATTAGGATTTACCTTTGAAAAAACGTTGACTTTATATTTCAGGGCGTACACGATCATGGCTCTCGACATTTTCCTTTCTTATCTCTGAATTTCCATTACTTCTCGAGAAAGTAGTGGTGTATCTCACGTTGCCTTTTCCACGCTTTTGGATTCAGGATTATATTTATCTTCTTTAAAACAGAGGCGATCATGTCTCTCCACACGTTCTTTTATTATTTGGGAACTCCTGTGAATTATTCCTAAGAATAGCAAGGTGGTTTCCCCTTACATTCACAGCGGTTTTAAATTCAGAATTGCTAATCCCTTCATCAGTAGTGGATTATGACTCTACACACGTTCTTTTATTATCTGTAAATTGCCATGTCTTATTGAGAAAGATAGTGGAGTATTTTTACGTTGCCATCTGGACGATTTTAATTCCAGAGTTTTCTTTCTCTTCTTCAGGTCATACATGATTATGTCTCTCCACATTTTCCTTTATTGTCTGTGAATTACCATAAGATCTTTGGAATGACTGTGGAATAGGTTTCTTACAGTTTTTTTTGTAAAATAAATATAGCTGAAATCCAAAAGTAGATATCCCAGTTTACACTACTACTTAACTGGAGTAGGGATGCTATAGATTCATGCCTTTCTTAATTCTATTTGTAGGCACCCGCTCGAATCCGACTATCGAGATTGTCATCCTCTATTCCTATTCCATTTCTCTCCCATGGGGGAGATGCCTGTGAATCAAAGAGAATTTGACGAAGTCATTCGCTGGAATTTGATTTTGGCAAGCATCTCTGCGCTATAGACAAGCCTACACACTTGGCCAGAAGCACCTCCTGCGCGGCTCAAAGGGGATTGAGACCAGTGATATCTTGTAAACCTGGCTGCATCGGGCTATCGGATGCTGGTTCTGTCAAAGTCCGCTTTGTTACAGACAGACAATCTCAACCATAGAATAATATTCGCTAGTCATTATCTTGTTAGAGACAGAAAATCTAAACCATGGAATAATATTTACTTCTTGCAAAAAGGTAATATAATACGTAGAATAATATTTGCTAGGCATTACCTTGTTATAGACAGAAACCAGGCATTAATATCGGCTTTACATTGCCTTGTTACGGACAGACAATATAATCTGAAGTTTCATGTACCTTTTACAATCCGCATCCTTATTAGTGTTTTATCGCATTGTCTTTTTCCCAAACTTTTGTCGAATATTGTAGAACATTTCAGGTCTATATTATATTCTACAAAAATGAAGTATACAGATGGCCTAATAAATAATATTAAAGCAAATCCCGGCATGATTTATCTTAAAATTCAGATTTTAGTCATGCCTCATGCTTAACGGTCGAAGAATGAAAAAACGATCTGGGAGTTCTGATAATATATGACAATGTTTTTTTTTTAATGACATTAAAATATTTTCACTGGAAATAATGTGAATGGTTCATTCTTGACTTTTCCATAGTTATATGAATTCATAGTTTTATTTTATCTGAGTTGAGCGGTGCGAGAGCGAATGCAAAAGACCACCGCCAAAAATTACACAAACCTGGCTGATTCTAATATTCGTGACATTGCGTGGATTCCGCTCACAAGAAATATATGAAAGAATAAGAACTAGTTTTCAAATAATGAAAGCCACCATTGCATTATATTGAAATATGGAGTGCGGGCGATATTTGAGGACAATTCTTTATGTTCAAAATTACAGCGTACCGATTTGGAATCATTTCAGGAATTTCTTCGTGATGCATCTTCGAATGAGATTCTTAACCTTCCTGTTGATAGCTGTGCCACAGAGGTTCCACTGCCCACAGGAATCAGTTGTTGCTGGCGATAGTTTTGATCGCAACTGAAGCCTATTTGTGTTTGCATGCAACAATTGTAAACTAGCGATCAAAGGTTCTAAATCTTTTGGAATAGAATAAGACATATCAAAGCTTCTTTGACTCTCGTGACTATTGACGGCGTTGTAGTAGGGTGTTAAATAAGAATTTTATCTTTCTTCCCTTCGCTCATTTTTTTTAAAATCGGTATCACCCCAAGCAAGATAGTAAAGCCACTAAGATGCAAGGGATTACATGGTGTAGAAAACAAATTAGAAACAGAAACATTAATAATAAGTAGAAAAAGAAAATACTAATCCGAACATCATCAGATAGCGATTGACATTGCAGCTAAATCTTTGCATATATATGTCTTATATATACGTATATGTCTTATATGTATGTTTTATATATATATATATATATATATATATATATATATATATATGTACACACACAACACACACACACACATATATATATATATATACACACACACACACATACACACACACACATATATATATATATATATATATATATATATATATATATATATATATATATATATATATATATATATATATATATATATATATATATATATATACACATTTACATATTTTATTAAGTTCCTAACGTTTATATATATATATATATGGAGTGGTTAGAATTTTTGCTTATAATGAACAGAACGGTTATTGTTGCGTCCTTCACTTTATGAGATGTTGGGAGTAAAACGACTTTAATTTTTTTCAGACCTAATCTTTTCTCAACTGTGGCTATAATCGACCCCCCCCCACTTGTCTATTTCCTCTTCAGCTTCTCCACCGTCTTTTTATCTGTATTTCATTTCACCTCAAAATACTCGTCTCTTTCTATTGGCCTCCCAAAATCTCGCGACCTTTTCTCTTTGTCCCTTCCGTCTTCTTTGCTCGGAAGCCGTTTCCATGGTCCACTAACCACCTGCGCGAAGAGGGATTAGCAGAATTAGACGGGGAAGCGACACTTGTCCTTACCAACACGTGCAGTACAGAGACAGCTCTGTGTCAACCAACCGGCAGGCGCTCTTCTTTCCCAAGCCGGAGTTGAAGTGTAATTTTCCTCAGAAAAAGGCGTCGAAGGGTGACCTTAGGATACATCTGGTAACTCTTCATCCACGATAACCTACAAACATGTTCTTGTATTTATGTATGTTTTAGAAGTGAAAAGTTCGCAGCCGACCAACAGTATTCCAGAGTAATTCATTTGGTCATATTTCGTAAATTAGTTTGAACCCAGAGTTTTTCGGCACAATGTTTTGGTTGGTGATATACGAATTAATTCAACTATTATCGTATAAAGTTGCTCTACTTATATGTCCATGGAAAGTGCTCGAAAGAAACTACATTCGTTGGCCCCTCCCAGGCAAATCTTCACGCCAAGAACACGCCATGCCACTCACATCGTAACAAAACATCCGCATTCCATCGCTGAGGAGTGAGATCTACTCGAGCAGCTTCTTCCTGCGAGTCACTGCCTTGTTAAATCGACTCTCAGCGGGATATTTCCCCGATCGCTGCAATCTTAACCTATTCAAGGTTAGGGTTAATCATTACTTCCCTCACCTATACACACAAATGGCCTTCTAACGTACCGCTCTACCTCGAGTGGACCCAGGCCTTAGAAAAGGTGACTCTCACTGTAAAAATAAATAAATGGTAGGTTAATCGTCATCATAGAATAGTGGTTGTGTAGCCATTTGTTTGTATTATCAGTATTACTTATAGAGATTACATCGGACATTTTTAAACATTAAGAAAAGACTAACAAAAAAGTAAGATAACAAAAAAAAAAAACATTACCATAACGTAGCAATATCGAAATATAACATGGTTACAAAAAACAAAGAAAGAATCTAAGCCGTTATATCGGTTGTCTCTCATCAGAGCTCAGTCGAGGTTGAGCAATTGGAGACAACTATTAAAAAGAACACCGAAGACTAACTATTTATATAAATATATATATAAAATTTACAGGCTTATTATATTTAATACAAACAGTTACTCTTTCTGAATACAGAGTGACGGCTGGTAGGTCTTAATATAAATAGATTCCAAAAACTTCAAATGTGAATCAAAATTGGCCTTAATATGTGTTGTTTGTGAACGGGGCACTAGTTTTTTTTTTTAAATTAACCATCACATAAGGCCAAGGCGTACTACTCCAGAAACCTCTGACCTGGGGAGATTAGGTATCAAGCCTGATTACGTGACCCGGGAAGTGCTTTAAAATTGTCGCTAGCTTATGAACATTTGCTTTTTTCCTATCTACATTTATATACGTTACAAATTAAGCTAATAATTAACCTCGGCCTTTTGGCTGGGGGTTTTT